CGGAGCCGTTGCCGCGGCAACGCCGCGGCCTGGTTCGCTGTCGGGCGCCATCTTCCCCCGCCCGGGCCGAGCCGTGGAGCCCGGGTCCTTCAGACCAAACCATTGGAGTAATGCCGGCCTGGCGCCAGGGCCTCCTCCCACCCGTGCCCAAGAAGGGGTTGAAAACTCGAAGCCCTTTCCCAAGGTAGGGAGAGTGTGTCCCTGCCCTGGAAGTCTTGCAGGGGGCTTCCACTGAGAAGGAGCTGGAAGGTGGTTGATGGTGCGATGGAGCCATGAACTCTGCAGCCCTGGTGGGTGGTCTGACCTTCTGGGCTGTTTCCAGCTGTTTGGAGCGAGGCCACATGGTTGTTCTGCTTGATTTCTGCCCCCACAGGTCTCCTGCCTTGAAGGCTCAGAGGAAAGAGCCAGCTTTGAATGAAGGCCGTGCTTTTACACCCTGCTCTTGGGCGCATGCGACATGGGAGGAAAGAAACCTGAGGTTTTACTGTCAGATGAAATCAAAGTGCCCTGCTGCTTCCTCTCCTCACATTGCTGGGTTCAAAACAACTCGCTTTTGCCTCATGATTTTGCAACCAAAATATAAATGCTCAGTGGATGTAGAAATGAACAGAGAGAGACTTTTTCAAAGCAGGAGGCTGGTGATGGAGCAGCCTGGATTCCGTAAACTACCACCCAGGTCCCTTCAGCTGCACGATGGGGGTGCAGCCCGGTGGTTAGAGCACAGCATCTCCCTCAGCTCTGGTTCATGTGGGCTGGGCTCAAGAGCAGGTCTCTCAGACCTGGGCAGTGGGACACACTGGCCTGGAGAGCATGGATGTGTGTGGAAGATGGCTAGTTACGGGGTTCATGAGCTCCCCAGGGACACAGACATGCTCTGCTCCCTGAGAGGATCCCTGTCCTGATGTTACATAGTGTCTTTCAGGGATGAGGGAAGGCAACCTGAATGACTGGAAGAAGAGGTGTGTTTTCCACTGTAGCGCCATCTTAGCTTCTCTCTCCAGTCCCCCCTTTTCCCAGGACAAGAAGAGACAATCATAGAATCATAGAATCACTTTGGTTGGAAAAGACCTTTGAGATCATCGAGTCCAATCTTTAATCTAACCCTGCCATCCCACCACTAAACCATGCCCCTAAGCACCTCATCTATCCTTCTTTTAAATACCTCCAGGGATGAGGACTCGACCACCTCCCTGGGCAGCCCATTCCAGAGCCTGACAACCCTTTCGGTGAAGAAGTTTTTCCTAATGTCTAGCCTAAACCTGCCCTGGCGCAGCTTCAAACCATTCCCCCTCGTCCTATCATCTGTTACCAGGGAGAAGAGGCTGACCCCCACCTGACTACAGCCTCCTTTCAGGTAGTTGTAGAGGGCGATCAGGTCTCCCCTCAGCCTCCTCTTCTCCAGACTAAATAACCCCAGTTCCCTCAGCTGCTCCTCATATGACTTGTGTTCCAGACCCCTCACCACCTTGGTTGCTCTCCTCTGGACATGTTCCAGCAATGCAACATCTTTCTTGTAGTGAGGGGCCCAAAACTGAACATAGTATTCAAGGTGCGGCCTCACCAGCACCGAGTACAGGGGCACTATCACTTACCTACTCCTACTGGTCACACTATTTCTGATACAATGAACATCTGAAAAGAGTTTGCTGCTCTTTGGAGGTCAGTGTAGACTCTGGTGTGTTGCTCACTTGCAAAGTTTCCTGGTAAAATCAGGCCAAGAGCATCAGAACATGGCTGTGTGGACCTCATCCATGCCCATCCACCACACAGACTTTGATACTGCTCACGAATCAATTCTGGACCAATTTGGCTTTCAGGGCTGCATCTCTGCCATGACCTTTCACTGCTTCCAGTGGGACTCTGACCTGGAAAGCCCCTCTCAGAGGGACACATTTGCAGCTAGTTGAAGTGAATGTAGGACCCATGAACTGAAGACATATCCACGGAGGCCTGGACAATCAAGGGGTCTTATAATTGCCCCAAGCAAATGGCTGGTTTCTGAGGGTCCCCAGTGGGGTGCCCCCAGCTCTATTCTCCTATGCATGTGAATTTGAAAGCCTGGAGGGAGATTTTCAACAGAGATGCATCCTCATCCTGGCTCTTCTTGGGCACTGGGAAGTCTCCTGACACTGTCTCTCTTCAGCTCTATCAGAACCTGATAAGCATCCCCTAGAGCTGAAGCATCTGGAGTCCCTGCTGAAGGTGAGTTGCTGCTGTGCTGATGCGCCTAAGGCCCACTGAAACCATTGCTTACTTTCTGCCTGACTGTCCTCTCTGGGCTTGCATTGCTGAGATGCCTTTTCATCTTCCATTTGGTTGTCCATAAGAGGAAACAAACTCCTCTACAGTGTTGTCTGACTGCAGCAAATTTGCTGGAGATGACAGGTCAGGGGACACAGCTACTCTGGTCAGGTACAAGTACTTCAGGACAAAGGGCAAAACAAGAAATTACAGAACCTACAGAGAAAGTCGACTTGTGCTTATGCTGCTGGGTAAGTCACACACACTGAATATTTTTACTGCATAGTCTTCCTGGCGTTCATCATACTGTAAAGGTTGTATCCATGACAGTGATATTCATGATCACTGCCCTGCCGTATGCTGCACCAACACATGTGCCTGGCCAGCATCATGGCCAGTATTTTCTTGTCCTCCTATACATTCCCACTCCATCTAAAGTGACTTCCTGTTGCAGCTGAACAGGTTTTCTCAGTAAAGAAAAGGTGAGAGAGGCAAGGGATTGAGGGTGGATGGCTTCTGATTGACAACCAAAGTAGTTTTTCTGCAAAGAAAACAACACTTTTTAATTTTCTCCCTCTGAATGATATTTTGGGAACCATTTGCGGTAGAGCTGAAAACATTCTCGTCCCCTCCATCATTCTGTCTCTACTTCTATCCTTCCTGGACAATATATGTTCAGAGCCCACATCTCAAGGCAATAGCCCTTCCTTGGAACTGTCTTCAAATGAGGAGACTTGTATGGATGTGAGCAAAAAGAACTGACCTTCAATCCCCTGATTTCACTGAGGGGCAAAAGATACACTAGAGGGTTTCCCACTGTTTTCGTTAGAAGTTACTGGACAAGGTTTTCTGGCAGTAGGTTCTGCCCTGCCTAATTTAATTCCAGGAGGTAAGTGAAGATTTATCAATGCTCTCTGGTAGTAGCAACAGCAGAATCATCTTAAGATACAAGAGATAGTGTATTTATAGAAGAATAACAGTAGATCAGGAGAACAGAAAGGCTTCCCTAGAATGGAAATATTAACAAAGGACATTTTCAAACACAGAGAGGCTTGCCCCTTCCTGTCCTTTTATCTAAAAAAATATGTAAAATCCTAAACTGCTTCCAGTAGCCTCAGGTGGAGTAAATCTGTCAGAGGGTTGAAATGTCTCCCTGCATACATGATCTTGCAGTGGCATATTTCTCATCTGCAGTAATGCAGAGCATAAACCAGCTCTGACCATTATGTAAACCCAGGGGTTTACACACAGGAATGTCCCTTTTTATCCCCATTTTCAGAATGTTCCCCAGTCAGGGAATGATTGACATGTGCCT